TGGGAAGTCCACTGTCTGGTAAGGGACTGATTCTTAGCATATTAACAGACAGCTGCCTTCCCACTGTATCCTCACATGGCCAAGAGAGAGCACACCCTGGTCTTTTTCTCTTCTTTTAATACAAACACTAATCCCATCATGGGGGCTTCACTCTCTTGACCTTATCTAAACCTAATTACTTCGTAACGGTCCCACCTCCTAATGCCACCCCATTAAGAGTTAGGATTTCAACATGTATCCGATGATACCATGGGATATTGATTTGTTTAAAATGTCTGATTTCAGACCAGGTGCAGTGGCTGACACCTGTAATCCCAGCACTTTGGGAGGCTGAGGTGTGTGGATTACTTGAGGTCGGGAGTTTGAGACAAGCTTGGCCAACATGGCGAACCCCTGTCTCTACTGAAAATACAAAAATTAGCTGGGTGTAGTGGCACTCGTCTGTAATCCCAGCTACTCAGGAGGCTGAGGCAGGAGAATTGCTTGAACCTGGAAGGCAGAGGTTGCAGTGAGTTGAGATGGCGCCACTGCACTCCAGCCTGGACAATAAAAGTGAGTGACTGAGTCTCAAGGAAAAAAAAAAGAGAGAAATGTCTGATTTCAGACATCCTGAGCTACTGCTCACCTGGATGCCCGATATACTCCTGCTTATCAAGCCCTGTGTTCCCTATAGGGGCAATGCACAGTCCCAAACCTCATAGGGAACAGAGGCCCAGCTAGCTCTGGGATCTAGGACCCCATGCCTTCTACCCGCTCCTTTGTCCTATTCAGAGCTCTGCCTTCTGCTTAAAAAGCTAAAATCAAGCACTAGAATTCAGCATTGCTACCAGATTAAAGGGCTAAAGTCAACTCAACTGAATGACCAGCAGTGATACTCAAGTACTGTGTCGAGAGCCTTGGGTAAGACAGTAAAGCCAACTAAAGACCCAAGTAAAAACTCCCTAAGCCCTAGGGTGGACCCCCTTACCAAGGAAGAGCCAGAAGCCACATGCAAGGGATACCTGGTGGGTCTGACAAACAGGTCCAAGTTGGGGGAGGGGCTTGAGGCAGGAGACGAAGTCATGGAGGAGGATGGGCATGGACCTGGGGGCCTTTTCTGCTAATGCTCAGAAAATCATTTGGCACATGGCAATCCCAAAGAAATCAGTATTTCTGAGGATTTCCTTCGGTAAAGTTAAATGCCAACAGGACTCGTGACTTTTCACTTAATAACCAGTTAATGAATTAACAAAGCATTCCCCTTTTATGTATAATAAAAAGGCTGTTGGTTGAGTTGCCTTTTAACTTATTAATTAATAGGTGGATGTCCCAGCCCCATGCCCACTTCAAAGCGGGTGTTAAACATCCTGGAGTCCCCATTCCTTCCCCTAAGAACACAGTGTTGTTCGATCCACTGCAAAAGCAGAAAAGACTGTCCCCAGCAGCCTTGAAGCATCCACGTGCCATGAAGCACAGGGGCCTGAAACCATCCCAAAGATCCAGGGAGCTGGGAGACCCTCAACCCTTCAGATGGGAGAAGAGGCTCTGCCCTTTCTATTATCAACAATCTGAAATAAAACAACAGTTTTACAGAAACTCAGAAGGTCCTGAAAAACCCCTAAGGTGCAATCTCTAAAGCCCTTAGGAGCTGCTTTTGAGATTAAGACCTTAACAGATTTCATTACCAAGAAAAAGGATGCCTGGACCTCCTGCATTGCTGCTTCTACCCTCCCTGTTGAGCTTCTCTCTAAAAAAGTCCAACGTGGGCCGGGCACAGTGGCTAATGCCTGTAATCCCAGCACTTTGGAAAGCCGAGGCGGGAGGATCACCTGAGGCCAGGAGTTCAAGACCAGCCTAGCTAACATGGTGAAACCCCTGTCTCTACTAAAAATACAAAAATTGGCCAGATGTGGTGGCAGATGCCTGTAATCCCAGCTACTCAGGAGGCTGAGGCAGGAGAATCACTTGAACCCAGGAAGCGGAGGTTGCAGTGAGTGGAGATTGCTCCACTGCACTCCAGCCTGGGTGACAGAGCGAGATTTTGTCTCAAAAAAAAAAAAAAGAGTCTGCTGTGGCTGATCGAGGGGTGGGGGACTCCTGCATATTCAAGGGGCTGCTGTGATCACTTAGCCACAGGTAGTCCCTTTTTAATTCTGCCCAAGTAGACAGCCATGCAGCACATGTTTCCTGACCCACCTAGGCTAAGGCTGTAGAAAATGCCCAGTTTCTTGGAGCCCATCATCCTCAAGGAGTGTATACTCTTGGGAGGAAGATAAGATGAACATATTTGGGATCATTAGAGGGCAGCACAAGGCAGTTGTGAAGGGGGCGGGGAGGGTGATTGTGTGTGCATTTACATGTGTGTATCCACCTGCACCCCAAGTCTATAGGTGTGCACTCCAGATAAGTGTGCACAATTTGGGAGCTGTCCATTGTTTCACTATGTCCATTCTTTCCCTGACATCTGACCGAGGTTGTAAGCCAGCAACCCTCACACATATATGATTTGTTAGAGATACAATGTGGTATGGTTTTGTTTTCGCTTTTTTGTTTTTGGGATTTTGGGGTTTTTTTTAAGAGACAGGATCTCAATGTGTTACGTAGATTAGAGTCCAGCGATGCGATTATGGCTCACTACAGCCTTGAACTCCTGGACTCAAGTGATTCTCCGAGTTCAGCCTCCCGAATTAGCTGGCACTACAGATTCACACCACTATGCTCAGCTATTTAATAACTTATAGTAATTTTTTTTTTTGAGACAGAGTCTTGCTGTGTCACCCCGGCTGGAACGCAGTGGCACGATCTCAGGTCACAGCAACCTCCGCTTCCTGGGTTCATGCAATTCTCCTGCCTCAGCCTCCAGAGTAGCTGGGACTACAGGTGCGTGCCACCACACCCAGCTAATTTTTGTATTTTTAGTAAACATGGGATTTCACCATGTTGGCCAGGCTGGTCTTAAACTCCTGACCTCAGGTGATCTGCCAGCATCAGCCTCTCAAAGTGCTGGGATTATTGACGTGAGTCACTGCGCCCAACCATTTTTTAAAATTTTTTGTAAAGACAAGGTCTCACCATGTTGTCCAGACTGGTCTGAAATTCCTGGCCTTGAGCAATCTTCCAACCTGGGAGGATTACCCAGTGTCATCACAAAGCACTAGGGTTATAGGTGTGAGCCACTACACCCAGCCCACTTTTTGTTTTTCTTATTTACTTTTATTTCATTTTACTTTTTATTTTTTTGAGACAGGGTCTCCCTGTCACCCAGGTTGGAATTCACTGTCACAATCTTGGCTCACTGCAACCTATGCCTCCCAGGCTCAAGTAATCCTCCATCCTCAGCCTCCTGAGTAGCTGGAACAACATGTACACATCACCATGCCCAGCTCATTTTTGTACTGCTTGTAGCGACAGGGTTTCACCATGTTGCCCAAGCTGGTCTTGAACTAGACTCAAGCAATCTTCCCACCTCAGCCTCCCAAAGTACTGGGATTATAGGTGTAAACTACCTCCCCATGCCTTTTGTTAATTGGTAGTTTCTAACATTTCAAGATCAGGAGATTTTACACAAAAGCCAGGTATCCTATTTCTCTTGTAACATGAAAAGATCTGATATTCCAGGTTCTCATTTTCACAAAGAAGCACCAAGCAGCTGGAGTGAGGTAGTAGCTGCCCTCTGTAGATGGGTCATGTGCTTGTGGGTTCTCTGCAGACCCCACCACTCCCTAATGCTCTACGTTCATCCTGCTTCCTTCCCTCTTTAAGGTTACCTATCTGTGCATTCTAGATGCTGGAATTTGTAACTTCTGTCTGGTAGAATGAAGGATAGTTCCCAAAGACATGCAGGGCCTAATTCCTGGAGTCTGTGAACATTCCCTTATATGGAAAAAGGGACTTTTCAGGTGGAATTATGTTAAGGATCTTGAGGTAGGGGGATCACCTTGGAGTCTCCTGGTGGACCCTAAATGCAGTCACAAGTGCGATTGTAAGTGGGAGCCAGAGGGGAGATTTGACTAAAGAGAAAATGGCAAGTGAACAACAGAATTAGGGGTGAGAAGGAAATGGCCATAGCTTAAAAATGCCAGAAGCTGGAAAAGGCAAGGAAGGTGTTTTCCCCTAGAGACTCACCAAGAAAACAGCCCTGTTGATGCCTTGATTTTAGTCCCCTAAGTTTCATTTTAGACATCTGGACTCCAGATCCGTAGCAGAGTAAGTTACGGTTGTTCTAGCTACTAAATTAGTGGTTGGTTGTTACAGCAGCAATAGAAAAGTCATACACCCTGCCAGCTAGTAAGCTCAGCAAATGCCTTGAGTGCCCAGAGTACAGTGGGTGGGCCCTACCCTTGAGGAGCTTATGCCCTAGAAGGAGAGGACAAAATGATCATGACAGTAAAACATGACCTAAATGATGAAAGCAAAGAGGGATAAGCCCCAGGGACTCTAGGAACATACCTGAGGAATTTTTTTTTTTTTTTTTTTTTGAGATGGAGTTTCACTCTTGTTTTCCAGGCTGTAGCTGGAAAGGGAACAACAGAATGAGGGGTGAGAATGAAATGGCCATTGTTTTCCAGGCAATGGTGTGATCTCGGCTCACTGCAACCTCCACCTCCAGGGTTCAAGTGATTCTCCTGCCTCAGCCTCCCCAGTAGCTGGGATTACAGGCATGCCCCACCACAACCAGCTAATTTTGTATTTTTAATAGAGGCAGGGTTTCACCATGTTGGCCAGGCTGGTCTCAAACTCCTGCCCTCAGGTGATCCACCTGCCTCAGCCTCCCAAGGTGCTGGGATTACAGGCGTGAACCTCCATGCCCAGCCTACCTGAGGAATTTCTAACCCAGCACTGGGGATTTCCAGAAGTTGCTGTTTTCCAGCTTTATTTATAGGAGACATGTATGCCTCCCTCTCTGCTGAGAAGCAAAACTCTGCCACAGCCTCGAGAGTGCCAAGGTCAAGAGACATGGTGTATGTGCAGAGGAAGGTGAAAGTGGGGGCAGGCACTGGGGAGGAAGGGAGGCTCCTCACCTTGCCTGCTGGATGAACTGGGTTGCTTTCTCAGCATACTTCTGGGCGAGGCTGCTCAAGTTCACTGGCTGCTCCACAATGTTGAGGTTTTCATAGAGAGGGAGGGCCACGTCAGTGTAACAGTCTCTTTGAAGGTTCCTGCATGGAAACCACAGACCATATTCATTTCCTACGTACTCATGGAGGAAAACTAAATGCCTTAATGCAATAATACACTTGCACATAAATACGACACTCTGGCCACAAATGATTTTTCTGGTTGGCCATTTCCTCCCAGTGTAAAAGTCTATGTATAATACTTTCTTCCATTCCCTTTGAATAGATGCTTATGCTTCTTGGACAAGCTGACCACTCTGTAAAGCTTACAGAGACTCTCGTGAGCTACAGACATTATTTTTTTTTATTCCCATGTTGCAGAAAGAGAAACTGAGGTCTGAAGAAGCTAAATTATGTCCAGCAGAGTCCCATAGCCAATCAACAGCCCCATTGCTGGCTTTCTCTGCTATCTCACTTCCATCTCAGCCTCTGTGTATGGTGTGCAACTTGGCGTTTTCTGAGGTCCACAATCGGGACTTCATGTAATATCAGGTATGACAATAGGACAGAATATATAAGGCTGGGTGTGGTGGCTCACATCTGTGATCCCAGCACTTTGAGAGGCCAAGGCTGGCAGATCACTTGAGGTCAGGAGTTTGACACCAGCCTGGCCAACATGGTGATACCCTGCCTCTACTAAAAATAGAAAAATTAGCCGGGTATGGTGATGCACACCTGTAATCCCAGCTACTCAAGAGGCTGAGGCAGCAGAATCATTTGAACCCAGAAGGTGGAGGTTGCAGTGAGCTGAGACTGCACCACTGCACTCCAGCCTGGGTGACAGAGCAAGACTCTGTCTCAAAGAAAGAAAAACATGAGCAAACAAACAAAATCAATCTGAGGATTTGGTCTTAAAGATTGAAATGAATCTGAGCCACGGCTGCCCATCCAGTGTGGCTGAGTCATGGTCTGGTCATCATCTCTGACAAGTTACTTAAGCTCCAAGAGTTATCTCTTATCTGTAGCACGGGGTGGCCTGTGCCATCCTTACAGGGGTGCCGGTGGTCTAAAAGAGGTAATAAATACACAAAGACTCAAAACAAAGGGATGGAGGAAGATTTACCAACCAATGGAGAGCAAAAATAAATAAATAAATAAAAAGCAGGAGTTGCAATTCTTGCCTCTGATAAAATAGACTTTAAAGCAACAAAGATCAAAAGAGGCAAAGAGGGACAGCACATAATGGTAAAAGGATCAATGCAACTAGAAGAGCTGATGATCCTAAGTGTTTGTGCACCCAATACAGGAGCACCCAGATACATAAGACAAGTTCTTAATGACTTATAAAGAGACTTAGACTCCCGCACAATAATAATGGGAGACTTTAACACTCCACTGTCAATATTAGACAGATCAACCAGACAGAAAATTAACAAGGATATCCAGGACTTGAACTCAGACCTGGAACAAGTAAACTTAATAAACATTTACAGAACTCTCCACCCCAAATCCACAAAACATACATTCTTCTCAGAAATTCTAAAAGTGACCACATAATTGGAAGTAAATCACTCCTCAGCAATTGCATAGCATTTCACAGGTTTAAATGAAATATTGGTTGGCAGCTTGTTTGATATTTTCCTCCCTTATTCCTTCCTGTCTCCATTGTTAAGCACAATTATTGGCATAAAAGAGGTTTTCAATACCCATTTTTAGACTGCATTCTAGCCTGGGCAATAAAGCAACACTCCTATTCTCTCTCCCTCTTTCTCTTCCTCTTTCTTTCTTTTTTTTTTAATTATTCTTTTTTTCTTTCTTTCTCTCTTTCATTTTTTTTTTTCTTAAAAAAAAATAAAAGAGATAATAAATGGTTAGTGCATTGCACACAGCTTCAGTGTATTAGGAATTAAAAAAAAATAAAAAAAAAACTCAAGCTCTCAGTCCTGGTCACAAAGAAAACGAAGAAAGAAGCTGAGAGCAACGGAGATAGAATGGGTAGTAAATGGAATCCTCTTAGGCAAATACATCATTCTAATAGTGCTGGGAAGGATTTGCAAAGAAATCAAAAATCCCCTTCACACCTACATGCACATACACCCCAAAATAGAAATACAGGCGATATGGTCAGACTGCGTAGATAATTGTCAAAAACCACAATTTTTTTTTTTTTTTTGACACAGGGTCTCACTTTGTCACCCAGGCATGCAGTGGCACAATCTCAGCTCACTGCAGTCTCAAACTCTTGGGTTCAGGTAATCCTCCCATCTCGGCCTCATGAGAACCTGGGACTATAAGTGTGTGTTGCCGTGTTCGGCTAATTTTTGTATTTTTTGTAGAGATGGAGTTTTGCCATGGCCAGGCTGGTCTCGAACTCCTGAGCTCAAATGATCTGCCCACCTGGGCCTCCCAAAGTGCTGGGATTACAGGCATCACAAATTTTTTAAAAGAGGAAAAAAATTATCACCAGGCTGGGCATTATAACACTAATCCCATATCTATGTTGAATTTTTCAGCTTTTTATTAAATCATTGCAACTCCATGAGTCATTTACATTCTTTCCTTTTCGTTTTTGGTTTTTTTTTTTCTCTCCTAAGCCACTCATTATTTTCTGTTTAATTTTGTTTTTCTTTTTTTTGAAACAGAATCTGGCTCTGTCACCCAGACTGGAGTACAGTGACATGATCTTAGCTTACTGCCACCTCCCCTCAAGCCATCCTCCCCCATCAGTCTCCTGTGTAGCTGGAACTACAGGCACACCTACTACACTCGGCTAATTTTTTTTATTTTCTGCAGACATGGGGTTTTGCTGTGTTGACCAAGCTGGTCTCAAATGGTCTACCCACCTCAGCCTCCCAAAGTGCTGGGACTACAGGAGTGACCTACTGAACCTGGCCTTCTATTGAATTTTTTTTTTTTCAGCAACATTAGGGAGGATTCATACTCATGGATTTTAAAAAATATAGATTAAAAAGAGATTTTTAACATGGATTAAAAATTAAGGCTGGGCGTGGTGGCTCATGCCTATAATCCCAACACTTTGGGAGGCCTAGGCGGGAAGATCTACTAATCTCATGATCCGCCTGCCTCAGCCTCCCAAAGTGCTGGGATTACAAGCATGAGCCACCCGTGCCCAGTCCTGTGTTTTTTTTTTTTTTAATTTTTTAATTTATTTTTTGAGACTGGATCCTACTCTGTGGCCCAGGCTGAAGTGCAGTGGTGCGATCATAGCTCACTGCAGGCATGAGTCTTGTTAAAAGGCAGACCTGGGGGTAGGGTGTGAATGTGTCCATCTCTAACAAGCATGTAGGTGATATCCATCATGCTGGTTCAGTGACCACATGATGAGTAGCCAGGATAGAAAGGGCATGGGCTCTGGCCTCAGAGAAACCCAGACTGGAATCTCCATTCCCACCTCTTACCATCCTGGGCAACATAAGCTTCCTTATCTGTAAAATCAGGCATCAGGTTGGTGCAAAAGTAATTGAGGTTGTTGCCATTGAAAGTAATGGCAACAACCACAATTACTTTTGTACCAACCTAAGAAATACCTACCTCACACAGTGGTCATGTGGATTACAGATAAATATGGACAGTGCTTAGAATATAACAATTTCTCAATAAGTAACCATTATTATATTAACTATTGTTTTATAGATAGAGCAGCTGAGACTCACCTTTCCCGAGTGGCTCAGACACGTGTGGCCTTAGAAATAACCACCGTGCACTGTCTGAATAAGGGGAACACGTGGTTTGTGCTGTTTTATTACCTATGGCTTATCATCTTTTCATGATCATAAATATATCACAAAATAGTTAGGAAATGCAATGAGAAAGAAGAAAATGAAAACCCTGGCTGGGTACAGTGGCTCATACCTGTATTCCCAGCACTTTGGGAGGCCGAGGCACACAGATCACCTAAGGTCAGGAGTTCGAGACCAGCCTGGCCAACATGGCGAAACCCTGTCTCTACTAAAAATACAAAAATTACCCAGGTGTGGTAGCAGGTGCCTTGCAATCCCAGCTACTCGGGAGGCTGAGGCAGAAGAATCACTTGAACCCGGGAGGCAGAGGTTGCAGTGAGCAGAGAGATCGCAGCGCTGCACTCCAGCCTGGGTGACAGAGTACGACTTAGTCTCCAAAAAAAACAAAAAAGAAAAAAAATGAAAACCCTGAGTCCCAGGACCAGAGAGCTCCCTTCATAACATTTTAGCATAATTCCTTTGAGTCTCTGTTGCTAGGACTACAAAGATAGGGCTACAGAAGCCATTAAGGTCTTACTGTTGATGACCTGCTTCCTGCTTTTTTTTTTTTTTTTCACTTACTATTATATCATGAACATTTTCCCATTTCATTAAATGTTTTTTAAAACATCCTGTTTGGTGCCTGCTTGGTATTCCAGTATCAGAATGCTGGCTTACTTGTCCACGGTGGGAGAAGCTCAAAAGGAGTCCTGTGCACTTTTTTTCTCTCTCTCTCTATCCCTCCTTATGTTCAGTGTCTGGACTAGAAGCAAAGCCAGCAGGCAGAGGAGGAGGGAGGGAGGCCCCAGGTCTGTGAGACCCTGGCAGTGCAAGGCTCTCCCCAGCTGAGCTCAATAGTCCAAGGAACCTGGAAAATTTCAATAGAAGAATGTTGTGGACCTAATCATTAAAAGGTTTCTTGCACTCCCTGCAAATAACGCATTTAAATTTGCACAGAATGTACCGTCTATCTTATTTGCTGTCTTAACTGTTTCCTGTCTGAATCTTTTATTTATTCCTGATGGACCACAGTCTTGGGACTTTGTCTTGTCCTGAAGCCTATCGCAAATGTGTCAGACAGCATTACCTTGATGGTCCATCACCCTGTGGGCACGCTGGACAAGGAGGGTGGTTGTATCCTGGAGTATCAGTACAGCCCATATCATGGCTATATGGGATTCCAAAGTAGTAATCAAAACCTGAAATAGAAGCAAGTGGTAAGTACCCCCACATGGCTGTGACTCCACGTGCTTGCCTTCATACACTCATGGCAAAAATTTAATTTCCTATGATTTAATACTGCAGTGCTAGAGAGTATGTAATTAAAAGAGGATTTGATTAATATCCCTTTGTAGTATGCATAGAAAATCACTTTGCTGGGTTCTGACTGTTGGACTAGATTTGCAAAACATCTTGTGATTAGAATTAACCCAGTTTGGGAAGAAGTGGAGAGAATTATTGAACACCTAACGCCTTCAGTGAAATTATGGACATACTTAGTATTGGGTGAAAACCTACTACACACATGACATGTTAGGGGATAATAAATAAATAAATAAATTGTTCTTAGCTGCTACAAAGACAGAGAAAAAAATTATAGAACTTTTTTCAGAAAGAATAATTCTGTCCTCAAGAGACGTTTCGTGTGAAGAGAAAATAAGATATAAAGATTAAGCAATAAAAGATGAATAGATGAGCCAACAAGAGTGATTAGAGGAAGTTATCCCCGATAGAGATGGTGATGGGGGGTAGGGGCAGGAATCTCAAAATTCTCCTTGAAAGATACTGCTTTTCAGCTGGGACTCAAAAGACTGGCAGAATCTGGGCTTGGAGTGGAGGAGTGGAGGTGAAGGATGGAAGGGTGTGAGCACTGAGACCCAATGTCTTTGTGTTTAAGTTTTTTCTGAGTTCCTCCTTCATTCCATCTCTTCTCCAACCCAAGCTTTTAATCAAAGGCTATAGCTACCTATGCAACTAGAATGCACAAATTCTCCGGAAAAAGGAAACCTTCCCTAATTGCCCAGGTGACAGCTTCGGCTCTCTTTATTTCTCTAGATGGAGATAGAACTCAAATCTCACAAATAATTGCTATTTCTCATTAGCCTGAAATTCCAGGCCCAGGAACAGAGAGAGCTGGGTTTTCGGCTTCAACTCCTGCCCCTCCAAATGCCTCTTGGCCCTCTCTATAACCACACATTCCAAACAAAGTTCCCTTCAGTTCCCCGTGAGCCTCATGCCTTGGGGCCTCAGTGGCTTTGCCTGGAATTCTCTGCTCTGTGTCTCTCACAGGTGAAACTGCATTAGCACTTCCCAGTCCAGTTTTAGTGGGATGTTTCCTATAGAATTTCCCTGCTCCTCACTGCATCCTACCTGCCACGACCCTGCATTCAACTCATTCTTCTAGTGTAGCCTACAGACTTTCTATCATCTGGGCAGTACCACCTTTCCCATTAGTGATGTACTCCTTCAGTTAAACATTAGATCTTTGCCAACCCAATATGTGGTGTATGTAGGAGATAACTAGTAAATGTATGATGTATTTTTTTTCTTTTTGAGACAGATTCTCACTGTCTCCCAGGCTGGAATACAGTGGCATGATCTTAGTTCACTGCCACCTCCACCTCCCAAGTTCAAACAATTCTTACGCCTCAGCTTCCCAAATAGTGGGACTAAGGCACCTGCCACCATGCCCAGCTAATTTTTGTATTTTTACCCTGTAGAGACAGGGTTTCAGCATGTTGGCCAGGCTAGTCTCAAACTCCTGACCTCAAGTGATCTACCCGCTTTGGACTCCCAAAGTGCTGGGATGACAGGTGTGAGCCACCACGCCCAGCCTGTTTGTTGTATTTTTTAAAAATTGATACTTTCATGCTAACTTGGTTTGTACAGATGGATTTGGCTACCTCCTGGGTACACAACATGGCTCTGAAATATTGCATCCAGTATCGGGATGAGTCTCCATGAGGGACAGCAAACTTTTTCTGGAAAGGGCCAAATAGTAAACATCTTAGGTTTTGTGAGTCAGATGGTCTCTGTTAAGGCCACTCAACTCTTTTATTTCTTCTTCTTCTTCTTTATTTTTTATTTGAGACAGAGTTTCAGTTTTGTTACCCAGAACGGAATGCAGTGGCACAATCTCAGCTTGCTCCAACCTCCACCTGCCGAGTTCGAGTGATTCCCCTGCCTCAGCCTCCCAAGTAGCTGGGATTACAGGCATGTACCACCATCCAGCTAATTTTGTATTTTTTTAGTAGAGACAGGGGTTCACCATGTTGGCCAGGCTTGTCTCGAACGCCTGACCTCAGGTGATCCACCCTCCTCAGCCTCCCAAAATGCTGGGATTACAGGTGTGAGCCACTATGCCCAGCCTGGCTGTTTTCTAACAAAATTTTGTTTACAAAATCAGGCAGCATACTGGATTTGCACCACAAGCCTATGCCAGCCACTAAGCTAGATCACAGACATCCTCATACCCCAGTGTTAGAAAGGCCTCATTGTGTTTGCAGAAGCCCTGACCTGAGGAATAGTGCAGGGCAGCAAGAGGAGCCTGGGTGCTTAGAAGGAATGTGTGAGTGCACTTGGAATGACCCAGGGCATGTGTTAAGGGGAAGCCAGGAAGCTGATGAGAACCAGGACAGTGCACCACAGAGAAGATGTAAGAGGCAGGAGGGAAGAGGAATGAACTTGGACATGAGCATGAGGAAACCTCAGAGTGTCCACGCCAGAGGGCTTTTTGGAATTGCCTGGTCTAAAGACAGCAAATAGGTAGGAGATACTCTTTCTTCCTACTTCCTGCACCCACAGCAGACACCAGATCCTTCATGGCACCACTTCCTGCTGAATAGGAGCTGGTCTCAGTATCCCCTCAGCACAGGAATATGCCCTCTAGGTGCCAATACCTGATCTTGTCCAACCCCTCAATTGCCAAGTGAGAAAACTGAAGACCAAGGAGGAAATAAGTTATGGAGAAATTTTTAGTGAGTGCAAAAGCCAGGTCTTCACTTCCCCCATCTGCATTTTTTTAAAAGCGTATGTGGACGATGCATGAATGCCCAATTGGGAAAAGGGGCTCTAGGGAGGAGAGGCAGAGGAATGGGCATCAAAGGGGAGGTAAGCATTGAAGAAGATGTCAGCCAGTGGGGCTACTGACCACTGGGGCCCTGCTGAAGGTGAGCTCCAGGCCAACCCTCTAAAAATCATTTACCAAATGCAAAAACTGTCAGATGCAAACCTTCCACCAGGTCTAGGGCAGAACAATTCAGCCCTTTTCCACAGTGATAGGAAGAGATATTGGGGCCAGGGAGGGGAGAAGTCTGCAAAACAGAGAAGCACATTTGCTTATAAAATGGCAGGAGAGGAAGGGGACCCAATGTAGGGCCAGGAACAGGAGAAGCCACCAAAGCTGAGATCATGGTCAACTGCCTTTAGGAGAAAGTCCATGGCTTCCCATAGGAAATGGAAGAGGTCAGGGAAAGAGCAATGGCACGAACTACAACTTTGAAAAACCATCAATAATTTAGTGAATTGAATGTTTGGAGAATCCGCCCTTCAGCAAAGTGATTTTCAGAGAACCAGCTTTGGCAGCTTGATCTTGGCCTACTTCCCCAAGGCCAGAGGGTGAGGAAGCAAAGGCTGCAGGAAGAGGCCAAGAGGCAGCATCTCCTGTTTGGGTCCATGGCCAGGTTTCCTGCTTCGGTGAACCCATTAGTCAGTTTATACTTCTTCCCAGATTAGCCAAGTCTAGACCTCATGGGGCGGAAGGTTCCCTGAAGTGTAAAGAACCGGGAGATGGCAAAAAAGCTGATGGGCCTGCAATGGGGCTGCTGGAAGGGCAAACAGGCACTAAGGAAGCGGAGCCAGGGAAGGTGCCACCAAGTGGGGACTAAGGTCCTGGGGGAACCCTGGCACCCCAAATGCACCCAAATGCCCTTGTTAACAAAGATGTCCTAACTCAAGGTTGCCCCCAGAGACAGGATGGCTTAGCTGTTCATGGAATCTCACACAGAGACCTTTATTTTCCGTTTCCCAGGTAACAAATCTCCAAAAGAATTCTTACCACGGAAGTTGGGGTGATATGAGCCGTGGTGCCCAAGATGCCATTTGCCTGTAGGAAAGCAAAAGAGAGATTTTCAGAGGAATCCCCCTAGGGGTACCATGACCCCCTGAGGAGCTGATCACACACTCAACTCTTCATCAGCTTTGCCTTGTGCTGTGGACAAGCAAAGAGAGGTTGCAATGCAGTATGCAAGCCAGGCTTTACTCTCTGGGGCTGAGATGGCGTCCACAGGGACACATAAAGGATGACTCCAGACTCACACAAGAAACCACAGTGAAAGGGGAAGACAGGCCATCACCAGGAGCCCAGAGAAGCCGGCAGGCTGCGCCTCTGCCCCTCAAACAGGGCTCTGCAGACACAGCAAGCCCTCACAGGCCATCACCCCCTCCACTTTGCCCTCCTGCACTGGGGCCCTGCAAAGGCACCAGGCAGCCCAGGGTGCAGGTGCACCTCCCCACGTGGTCTCAGAAATGCTCGCTTCCTGCCTGGTTTCATCATCTTCCTCTCTGGCCAACATCAGCAGCCTGAAGTTCAAGCACCAAGACACCTACAGGGCAGCAAATGAGGAAACTCAGATGCCTGCTGCTCCTCGGTCTGCAACTGCGTTCAATCCAGGGGAATAATTGGGCAATGTGTGGCCAGAGTTCTGACAGTGTCAGAACTCTCTGATCTGCTCTTCCGCTCTGAGGAGTAGACCCCAGGGACGTCACCCCTATGGTGAGGGGGCAAAGAAAAGAATGTGGTACAAAGATTGAGATGCTGGCAGCATTAAACCACTCAAAGAAGAAAGACTGACAGGCAACCACAGGAGTATGTCTAAGCACATTATTTGATGTGGCCTCATGAGGTATTATCAAACTATTTTTCAAGACAAATGCATGTAGCAAAAATTAAGAATCAGTGAAGCTGGATGAAAAGCCTATGGGAGCCCATTACCCCCTCCCTGCAACTGCTCTATAGGATTGAGAAAAACATTAATAAAAAATGGAGAGAAATGGGCTGTCAATTGAGTGTCTCACACCTATAACCCCAGCACTTTGGGAGGCCGAGGCAGGCAGATCACATGAGGCCAAGAGTTTGTGACTAGCCTGGGCAACGTGGCAAAACCCCATCTCTACTAAAAATACAAAACTTAGCGAGGTGTGGTGGTGCACATCTGTCATCCTAACTACTCGGGAGGCTGAGGAAGGAGAATCACTTGAACCCAGGAGGTGGAGGTTGCAGTGAGCAAGATCATGCCACTGCACTCCTGCCTGGGCGACAGAGTGAGATTTTGTCACAAACAAACAAACAAACAAACAAATTGAGAGAAATGGATTAAGCATTATGTGGAATACTTTGATTAAACATTACATGGGAATATGACATATTAAAATTATGAAAATTATTGTTTAATCATAAAAATTACAATATGTAAAATTATATTACATGGAAACAGAATAATGTGAAGGGGAAAAAGTGGAGCCCAGTGATATGTGCATAACCAGGCAAACACACATAAACATGGACCAAGATGAGAAGCAAAGTGTGATGCCGGGGATAGTGGCTCACGCCTATAATCCCAGCACTTTGGGAGGCTGAGGCAGGCGGATCACGAGGTCAGGAGTTCAAGACCAGCCTGGGCAACATGGTGAAACCTTATCTCTACTAAAAATACAAAAATTAGCTGGGCATGGTGGCACGAATCTGTAATCCCAGCTACTCAGGAAGCTGAGGCAGGAGGATCACTTGAACCGAGGAGGCAGAGGTTGCAGTGAGCTGAGATCACACTACTGCACTCCAGCCTGGGTGACAAAATGAGACTCCATCTCAAAAAAAAAAAAAACCTTGGGAGTGTTGTAAATGGATCTGATATTCCTTTGGTGGGTCTTTAATTTCATAATTTCGACAGGTGGGTGGGTATGCTTAACTATCCTGTCCAGGACATGCAAAAGGTATCGTGAGTGGTGAGAAGGTAAGGAATAGCAGCTAAATAGTCAAGCTGCAAACAACTGGTTACTTAGAGTTTAAATTCATGAAGAGGGAGGGGCATGAGATCAAATCCAGCTCCAGGAGAAGCCAGGCCCCCTACTGCAGTGTAAGGACTGAGTTTGGCACTGCCCTGGGACCAAACCCTTCCTGGCTATGAGGTTTATTATTTATTTTACTTATTCTTAGATACAGGGTCTCACTATGGCCCAGGCGGGTCTCGAACTCCTGGGCTTAAGGGATCCTCCCACCTCAGCCTCCTAAAGTGCTGGGATTACAGGTGTGAGCCACCTCGTTCAGCCAGCTGTGAGGTTTACATGGACGCATGCAACTGGCCTAGTTGGGAAAGTCAGCCCACAATGAGAGTTTCACAAATGGTGTCTTGGTGTTGATGTTATTAACATAATGACTCCTTGGGGTATGGAAAGAAGGGGATTGGAAAAAGAGAAGGGTTGGACCTTAATTGGTCTCTCCTACAGCCTGGGACATGCCCTCCTGAGATAAGGAATGCTGTACTCCAGGTTGAGCTTCCGTGAAAGGATGTCAGGCTCTTTAACCCAGAGTGGGACAAGAGGGCCAATACCAGACGCACCAGCCCTGGTGGAATAACCTCCCACAGGTTCACCCGGTTCAGACACCAAGACAGACAAGGGCCAACCACTTGTGGTCGCCCCTCCCTTGCAATTTCCTGTATGGTGGAGAGAGGCAGGGATCCCAAAGGGTCCAGCTCTTTGAGAGTTAGGCTAACAAACACAGGCAGCTGAGGATGCTTCTGGGAATACTGGGTTATCTTGGTTCCCAGAGGGGAGACTGGCGGTGAGGCAGATGTCGGGGCAAGGCTGGGAACAGATATACACCTGTCTAGAGCTGGCCTCCACCCCTCCAGGTTAGGCAACGTCTCGTCACCACCCTGAAACTCAGTTCTCTTGCCAATACAATGGGGGAAATAACAACCTTCATGCCAATAAACATTTAACCCGGTGCCTAGCACATAATAAATGCTGAGTAAGAGATGCCTAAAAAAAAATGTTTTAAAGGAGAGGAAGTCACTGGACAATGTGGCAGACGTGGCTGGTCTCCCAGCAATGCCCATGCCCCCATGTATCCTGCTAATAAAACTGTGGCTTTGCTCAAAGTGTGGAAGATTAGCATGCCCAAGTTCAAGTCTGTCACTGCTGTCCCCAGTTTCTCAATCTGGGAGTGCAGCAGTGAGGCGTGGCCAAAAGATCCAGCTCTAGCCAATAAGATGTAAGTGTAAATCTTGGGGTCGGGGCAGAGCTGAGCCTCCTCCCTTCTTTTCCTTCCTTTAGCCAAATCCTGGTTCAGGGGCCTGAAGTTGCTGAATGGCAGTCATGAGGTAGCAAGCATGAGGACAGACACCAAACACCAACATGCTAAGGATGGCAGAGTGAGAGCACCTGGCTCCCGGCAGCATCCTTGAGCAGCTGATCTAATGAAAGCAACCACTTACTTGGAAACTTGCTGTAATGGGAGGAAAATAGCTCCATGCATGTTTTAACCCACTGTTAGGTCTTTTCAGTTCCTCACAGCTGAAAGCATCCCTAACCCACACAGCAGACATGAACAGGAAAGCAGACAGGCAGCATGTTGGAGATTTGCAAACACAAGGCAGCAGCCACTGCAGGAAATGCAACAGGCCAACGGCGCCCAGAGTTACCTATCATTCCAGTGACGTAACCCGCCTGCTGCAGCACCTCTGCCAAGGTGGTCTCGTTGAGTGGAAGGCCTCCCACAGAGGTGACTGCAAAGTTGTGTGTGACTCCATTGCGAAGGCCAAGCCGGCCAGTGAGCAAGGAAGCCCGGGAGGGTGAGCAGGTGGAGGCAGCTGCATGGAAATCCACAAACCTGCAGGAAAACAAACAGTGGTCAGGACCGCACCAATCACAGGAGGCGAGAGCAAGAGAAAAGGCAATGCTCATGCAGTTCCTGGGATCCCAGTGCTCAAAGATCAAAGATCACCCAGTCATGGGACAGGTCAGAAAATGGGATTTCTGGCCGTGCATGGTGGCTCACACCTGTAATCCCAGCACTTTGGGAGGCTGAGGTGGGAGGATCACCGGAGGTCAGGAGTTCAAGACCAGCCTGGCCAACATGGTGAAAGCCAGTCTCTACTAAAAATATAAAAATTAGCCGGGCACAGTGTCCCACGCCTGTAATCCCAGCTACTCAGGAGGCTGAGGCAGGAGAATCACTTGAACTCAGGAAGCAGAGGTTGCAGTGAGTCAAGATTGCGCCACTGCACTCCAGCCTGGGTGACAGAATAAGACTCCATCTCAAAAAAAAAAAAAAAAAAAAGGGAAATAGGATTTCTGGGTTTCAGGAAAATGAAACCCAGAGAAGTAACACAAGTAGTCCAGGGTTGTACAACCCATTCAAATGGATTTAATTCAACACATTCAGTCCATCTTATTCATTCAAAGGTTCCACATTTCCAGCATGCCTACTTACTATCGTTGCAGGTTTTTAATCCCAAAATCAAGACTTGAGGCCATTTAGGGTCATTCACGGATATGGGCAGACCTGCAAAAAGTTTGTGTTGCTTTGATGCACACGTTCTCAGTAGACACTGAACAAGGTGACCCTCTCCCTTCTGGTTTCAGCTCTCATATCATGCTGTAAAGAAATGTCCACGCAGTCTATTTAGAGCCACGGCTTTGCATTTTTGTGTTTCATGTCAGTGGTTTCACTATGGAAAATGGCCCCCAGATGTAGGGCCTAAGTGCTGTGCAGTGTTCCTAAGCGCTCAAAGGCTTTGATGAGCCTTATAGAGAAAATGTATGTGTTAAGGCCAGGCGTCATGGCTCGTGCCTGTAATTTCAGCACTTTGGGAGGCCGAGGCGGGATCACTTGAGGTCAGTAGTTCGAGACCAGCCTGGCCAACATGGTGAAACCCCATCTCTACCAAAAACATTTTTTAAAAAAATTGGCCAGGTGTGGTGGTGGGTGCCTGTAACAATAGCTACTCAGGATGCCGAGGCAGAAGAATCGCTTTAACCCAGGAGGTGGAGGCTATGGTGAGCTGAGATTGCGCCACTGCACTCCAGCCTGGGCTCTAGAGCAAGACTCTATGTCAAAAAAAAGAATATATATATATTAAGGTATATTTACACAGAAACGTTCACAAAACACAGTTATGGATTAATGTAATTAGTGAATGAAAATTTTGTGACTAGATGCTCACAGGAAGCTAACCCCATATTCTCCCTAGAAGCAAAAGAGTCAGTATTCCTAATTCATTACTCACAGTGGCTTTATGGAATATTATCAATAACAAGAATCCACCGAGGTCCAGCATGGTGGCTCACTCCTTTAACCCCAGCACTTTGGGAGGCTGAGGTGGGTGGGTGAGGTCAGGAGTCCGAGATCAGCCTGGCCAACATGGTGAAGCCCCTTCTCTATGAAAAATACAAAAATTAGCCAGGCATGGTGGTGCATACTTATAATCCCAGCTACTCAGGCGCTGAGGCGGGAAAATCACTGGAACCCAGGGGTCAGAGGTTGCAGTGAGCCAAGATTGTGCCACTGTACAACAGTCTGAGCAACAGAGCAAGAGTCTGTGTCAAAAAATTTTTAAAAATAATTGACTGACTCTATTACCTATTACTGTATGCCCAGGCTTTTTTTAGACATTGTGGAGAATACAAAAGAAGTCTAATCTAACCATTATCCCACCCTCAAGGAACAGGCAGAAACAAGACACTGAGAGACAAGACACGAGCAAATTTAAATCACAACAATGCACAATGGTATATAATTAAGACCCCAAATAGATGGAGAGAGCACAGGAAATGGAAATTAGGAATGCTCTAGGATTGAGATACAGAGAAGGAACTTGATGATGGTCCAAGGATTAGAGAAATCTCTACAGAGGAAGTGGCACAGAGGTTGGAATCAATCGAAAAGATGGGACTGTTATGAACACTTCAAATATCACAGGACAGGCATTCCTGGTGGAGGAACAGCAGGATATTCTCATTTTTGCAAAAGGAAACACTGAAGGGATACACCAGAAGCTAACAAAAGAATGATTTCCCAAAAAGGGAGGGAGAAACAGTATGTGGAGGGGGAAAGCAAGATTCTCTGGAATATGTTGTTATACAGTTTGACTTTTGCACCTTGTAAATGTTTGATATGGTCAAAAAGTACAATTAAATCACAAGGGAAAAAAAGCAGACCCTATAATTAAAAAATAAACAAAACACTGAAACAAACAAATCCAACCATGTAACAAACAGGAATATGACCACACAGAGGAAAGATTCATTCCAAGTAATATTAGCACCCAGTGTTCTGGCTGCCAACATTAGTGAGATATAATGTAAGGACGAAGAGAACCACAAAAAAAAAAAGCTTAAATTTGACTCAGCAGCTGTTCCATTGGTAGCAACACTGGGTTCAGGATTTTCAAACTATTTTACGTGATACGGTAGAGTAAAGCAAACAAGTAATTATATTAACGTTCCTAATCAGTAACCAAGATGTCCAGTGCAAAAGGTAAAGATAGAAAATAAAAGAAGATAATAAAAAATCTGTAATGTTAAAATTAATATAGAAGTCATTATGCATGATTTTTAAAAATATATATTTCCTAGCTACTATCTGCTGAAAGGGCCTAGAATCATTGACACCCCGGTAGCAATGAGCATGCTACACCCCTATCATTGTTTTAAACACCATCCTGCAATAAAAGGAATTAGATGTCCTTGGAGAAATTGTTAATTCCAGATTTGAAGAATAAGTACCAGGGGAGTCTGGGACATCTGCGTGTACCAGGAAGCAAAGCCCCAAGAGCCAGCTTCGAGGGGCTCCTGATGGCCAAACTTGGGACAGTGTGGGCATCAAAAGAACAATTAGGCCTGGCATGGTAGCTCACACCTGTGATCCCAGCACCTTGGGAGGCTGAGGCGGGTGGATCACTTAAGGCCAGGAGTTTGAGACCAGCCTGGCCAACATGTCGAAATGCCGTTTATGCTAAAACTACAAAAAATCAGCGGAACATGGTGGCACACACCTGTAATTCCAGCTACTAAGAAGGCTGAAGCATGAGAATGTCTTGAACCTGGGAAGCAGAGGTTGCAGTGAGGTGAGATCGCACCAGTGTGCTCTAGCCTGGGAGACAGAGGGAGACTCAGTCTCAAAAAAAAGAACAATTAGTGTAATTGATTGTAAGCCATGAATAAAGAAAAATCCATTAGTCCATACTGACACTCAGAAAAATTCATTTGCCATTAGAAAAAAATGTTATGCCAACTCCACACCCTAAAAATTCGTAAACATTCATCTTGACACTTTAGAATGGCCACAGTCATCACTAGGTGATGAGGGAAAGCACTCTTTTACAGAAGCATGGCAGGCAGTTGGACACAGAGAAGGAACAGCAGCCTTAGGAAATCACCATTTTTGCAACTCCACCTCCACCTCACCCAACCCAACCTCATCTATTTTTTTCACTTTTGGGGCAGCCAAGCCCACCCATTCCCCCAGCTAATAACTGACGATCAGCGGGTGTGTCGGGAGTGCTTGTTCACAGTGTCAACCTCGGAGCGTCATAAATCGGACACAGCTGGCTGATCCCCACCTTATAAAACGATTAAGTTTAGTGTCACGCACATCAGGTACCCTGACCTTGTACATCTCCTGATGGGATGCAAGATGAAGTTTATAAAACCAAGGGTTCTTGCCAAAAGCATTTACCCTGAAACTAATCAAACTTCTAAATCTAATTTCCAGGTTACAGGAAACAGAGCTTCATAGAAAAACAAATTAAATGACACCGCAAGGAAATAATTTAACAAACCAGTATCTAGATATTCTACAAGACAACAGGTCTAGTCTCTTCAAGAAGTCAGTATCATGGGATAAAATGGGATTGGGGTGGGTAGTAACTTACATTAAAGGACAAAACCACATGGAATATGTGATCCTTGACTGGCTAGCAATTCAAATAAACTGATAACACATTTGGGTATACTTAAGGGGATTTTAATACAGACCCAATGTAAGGTATCAGTGAATTTTTGTTCATTTTCTGAGTGTAATAATAGTTATTATAGGTATATGGGAGGATATTATTCCTTTTTATTTTATTTATTTATTTTGAGACAGAGTCTCGCTCTGTCACCCAGGCTGGAGTACAGTGGCACGATCTCCACTCCCTGCAACCTCCCCCTCCCAGGTTCAAGCAATTCTCCTGCCTCAGCTTCGAGCGTAGCTGGAATTACAGGCGTACACCACCATCCCCAGCTAATTTTTGTATTTTTAGTAGAGACAGGGTTTCACCATGTTGGCCAGGCTGGACTCAGACTCCTGACCTCAGGTGATCCACCTGCCTCGTCCTCCTAAAGTGCTGAGATTACAGGCATGAGCCACCACACCTGGCCCCTCTTTTTTATTTTTAATCTTTTTCTTTTTTTTAATTATAGAGATGAAGTCTCACTAAGTTACCCAGGCTGGTGTCAAACTCCTGAGCTCAAGCAATCCTCTCACCTTGGCCTCCTAAAGTGTTAAGATTACAGGCATGGGCTACCATGCTTGGCCAAGAATATTATTAACAGATGCATACTGTAGTATTTATAATGGTCACGAGGTTTGTATCCTGCAAATAATTCAGAGAAAAAAACGTTTATAGATGGAGCAAATATAAGCAAAAACAGCAACATTTTAACAATGGAGGAGTATGCTGATGTTTATTTTACTATTCTTTCGATTTTTCTTTAGGTTTGAATTGTTTCATATTAAAAAGTTTTTTAAATTATAAGGTCTGGATTATATAATGACCAGGGTAATGACAGAGGGGGTGGTCAGGGGCCCAGCATCCTCCCAACTCAGCCTTCTGAGTAGCTGGG